ATCGACCCTCATTTCGTGCGAAAGGGTTGCTCCAGGACAAGTAAAATCGCAATTTTTCTTCAGTTTTTGACGATCGACCCTCATTTCGTGCGAAAGGGTTGCTCCGGCACAAGTAAAATCGCAATTTTACCGCAGTTTTTGACGATCGACCCTCATTGCGTGCGAAAGGGTTGCTCCGGCACAAGTAAAATCGCAATTTTACCGCAGTTTTTGCCGATCGACCCTCATTTCGTGCGAAAGGGTTGCTCCAGGACAAGTAAAATCGCAATTTTACCGCAGTTTTTGACGATCGACCCTCATTTCGTGCGAAAGGGTGTCTCGTTGGCACTGCCCCTGCTCCCGCCTTCAAAAGAGAAATAGAAAAGAAGGAGAGGGCAAGAGGGCAAGAGGGCAAGAGGGCAAGAGGGCAAGAGGGCAAGAGGGCAAGAGGGCAAGAGGGCAGGAGGGCAAGAGGGCAAGAGGGCAAGAGGGCAAGAGGAGAAGATGTGAAGATGTGAAGATGAGAAGATGTGAGAAGATGTGTGAAGATGAGAAGATGTGAAGATAAGAAGATGTGAAGATGAGAAGCTGTGAAGATGAGAAGATGTGAAGATGAGAAGATGTGAAGATGAGAAGATGAGGGATGAGGAGAAGATGTGAGGATAAGAAGATGTGAAGATGAGAAGATGTGAAGATGAGAAGATGTTTTACAGACCCCCACTATTGGAAGAACCCTGCGCTCAGACGCTCTAGGGAAAAAACCAAGCCTTAGTACAGCCTTCGTTGGTCATATCTTGGGAAAATTTCACAGCCCCTTTCACAGACAACTTTCCCCCAGCAACTCTTTCGGCCATACCGGATATCGTGGCACTGTCGATCTCGTCAACAGTCCTAGGCTAGTTGCCGCTGCTTTTGAAAAAGAGATTGGGGGGTTAACTGAACCATTGCTATATATATATATAAGAACGAAAATATATGCTTATTCATATACGTGCTCTGTATGTGGAGTGCGAGGGTTTTGTCACATAGTTGTTCATGGGTGGAGGTAGATTGCTGAACTCGGGCTATTGAGCCGCAAGATTTTTTACAAGGTTTTACATTGTTTGACGCTAATTCTGTTGTTTCTGGTTGTTTAAAGTTTTGAAATTATTTGGAACATTTTGGCTTTGTTTCAGAAACATGACTGGGGCAATAACGATCTAAAACACTGTGAGAGGATTTTTGGCATCTCATTGGTGACCGGTTTTGTGTGTGTGTGTGCGTCCCGCTGGTTTGCATTTCGTTTTCGACCAACTTCATGCAAACAAAAGAAGAATCGCAAACGGACACTTGAGAATTGCGCATGTTTTTTTCCAGTGGGTTGCTGGTGAGGAACATTTTTTGGCGTCGCCGCTTCCTGTCAGAAGGTTCTGCAGCTGCATCATCATCGCACCTGCGCAGGGATTGGAGCAAGTATTGGATATTATCATATTTCGCCCTGATTTCACATTTGCACGAACATGCACATGGGTGTTATATGATATATATTTGTATATATATATACACACACACACATATATATATAAATATGCATAATGTGAAAGCTGCGAATAGCACATTCTTTCGGCATATTTTTGCCGCTGCTGCTGCCACCGCATCGAGCCCCTCAAAATACCATCGGTCCACAGAGCACCAATTGCGCCCCATAGGTTCACTCCCAAGCACTTCAGCTTAGGTTTGGAACCACCCCTGCAACTGGACTTAAATCCTATGGTGGGTAAACTTGGCCGGGAAAACACATAGCTACGTGACCGCACAGGAAAACCAACGGAAACACTGCATGAGTAAATTGAAAATTTGAACATGTACATACTTGGAAACATGTTTGTTGCAGTTACTTGGCCTTTCTTACCTTCAAACCTTTCAAGGTATCCCTGTTGCGATCCTAAGCCTTATTCTTTGCCTTCGCCTTAGAAGGAGGTTTTTTGTTCTGCTGTCGGGCAATCGCGTTGCCTGCAGCCTGCGGTTTTTCGAAGTTCTTTTGTAAGGCGAGAAACTCTCGGACACAAGGGATATAGTCATCCTCCTGCAAAAACCGTGCCCATATCTGAAAAATACATGTATGAGAAGTATAGCGGGCAAAGAAATCAAAAAAAAGTTGACCGGTCCTCCGTCTTCCCCGCGGTGATCAGGGCTTGGGTCTTCTTGTACAACTCCCTTAAGTTGCACGTACATCATCGCAGGAAAAACTGACATGCAAATGTGACACAACAAAAAGCTGCGCATGCCAGAAACGACCTGCAAATACCTGCCATGTCCTATCTACAGATTTTTTTGGAAGGGTTGTAGTGCACAAACCCCAGATCGGCCAAAAAACTCAAACTGCATAGCGTACTTCTCCATCTCTTTGCTCAATGCTTCGGCATAGGGCAAAGTTTGGAGTGTCAGCGTCAGGGTTCCCGCGTCGTTCTTCTTTTTGAGCAACTTGGTACACATGTCCCTGGCTTTTTGCACTGCGGTGAGAGGCGTTTGCTCCTCAGCTCTTCGCTGTTTTTTCTTCCTCGGCTCCTCGACCGACTCAGCAGGCGTGCCAGGCGCTGCACTTGGTGTCGAAGGGCTGCTTGTTGGAGTGGCAGGCGCGTCCCTCTTGGCCGGAGCTCTCGGGGGAGGCATCTGCCTCAGATCATACTATAGAAAAAGTGTTTCGAGAAAAGTTTTTAAATATGCCGCTCACAGTGCATGATGCGCATAAATTCACACCATATTATGCAGTGTGGGTTTTCATGTGTATATAAAAATAGTTTTATATCTAAAAAATATCAATGCAGCTGAGAGACATGATCTCAGCCATGTCACTGGCATTCTCCGGAGTCACTTGCAGCCTGCCGGTGCTCATCACATTGCCTCAGCGTGCATGCAGAAGACACATGCGGGGCGTTGATTCAAATAGTTTCGCGGTAACATGTTTTCAAACTGGCGCTGATGGGTGAAGTGTCCAAAATTTCCAAGGGTTTTCTTTAATCTGGAGCTTATATAATCATCCCTAATGTCACGAAACCCACCCTAGAAAAAGATCAAACCTTTTCATTCAACCCTGTGCAAAACCATACGAAAACTATTTGCACTCAGGCTGTCCATGAGGAAACCTATTTGAAACGTTTAAGAGCTTGGTTTGGATCATGTATTTTTTTCATGAGGCATGCATCCAAGCAACTATTTCTGTGGTAATTCTCCGTCTCATCTTCCCGGGCAGCAATGAGGTAGACCTTGCCGTTGGGGTTGTTCTCATCATCATCGATCAGTCCTTGCTCTTCCTTAAACTTCATGACAGCCTCAGCGTCCTCCCCGTATGCGTCTTGCATTTGTTTCTTTGTGTAACGCAGGGCCTTCTTCCGGGCAATTTGAACTTTTCCAACTTCCTCCTGAACTTGCAAGAAAGCTTGCACATTTGCCAAATTTCCCTGGTTGTCAACAATAAGGGAAATAAGCTCAGATTTCTTGCTTTCATCGTGAAGCATATTTTTCAAAGACGGCATGCCCTCCACTCGGCCAGGGTTATCCTTCAACCTTTTGATCAAATTGGCTGCAGCTCTGCGGGAATACTCTTCTTTGTTTGGCTGCGCTGGCATGCCACTCTTGGCCGCATACGTGGCAGGCGCTGCAAATCCAACTTGGGCTTGCTGCGGAACAACCCGAGGCGGAGGCATCATCGCAACCTTCGGGACCACATGCGTGGTAGGTGCATGATGGACTTGATGGGGCTGCAGAAGTGCAGGGGCTGGGGGCAAAGCAGCTTTGGCTTGCTGAGCTTCATGGGACACACCAGGTGAGGAAGCGGTGGCAGGCGCAGCCAATCCTCCAGTGGCAGGCGCTTGCTTGGGAACCACCGTGGCAGGCGCTTGCATGGGAACCACAGTGGCAGGCGCTTGCTTGGGAACTGCAGTGGCAGGCGCAGGCACCCCACCAATTTCCCCACTTCCAACTTGCTGAGGCACAGTGGCAGGCGCAGGCAATCCACCAGCTTGCCCATCATTTCCAACTTGCTGAGGGAGAGTGGCAGGCGGAGGCACCAAACCATGCCCGCTTTGCTGAGGCACAGCGGCAGGCGCCCCAGTCTGCCCGCTTCCAACTTGCTGAGGCACAGTGGCAGGCGCAGGCAATCCACCAGTTTGCAATCCACTTCCAACTTGCTGAGGCACAGTGGCAGGCACCCCACCAGTTTGCCCAACTTGCTGAGGCACAGTGGCAGGCGCAGGCAATCCACCAGTTTGCAATCCACTTCCAACTTGCTGAGGCACAGTGGCAGGCACCCCACCAGTTTGCCCAACTTGCTGAGGCACAGTGGCAGGCGCAGGCAATCCACCAGTTTGCAATCCACTTCCAACTTGCTGAGGCACAGTGGCAGGCACCCCACCAGTTTGCCCACTTTGCTGAGGCACAGTGGCAGGCGCAGGCAATCCACCAGTTTGCAATCCACTGCCAACTTGCTGAGGCACAGTGGCAGGCACCCCACCAGTTTGCCCACTTTGCTGAGGCACAGTGGCAGGCGCAGGCAATCCACCAGTTTGTCCATTTCCAACTTGCTGAGGAGTGGCAGGCGCACGCACCCCACTACCCTGTCCACTTCCAACTTGGTGATGAGGCACAGTGGCAGGTGCAGGCATACCATTGGCATGACTCGGAACCACCGTGGCAGGCAACACCCCAGTTTTTTGGGGAACCTCGGCAGGCACAGGCAGTCCACCAGCAGCTACTGCTGCAGTGGCAGGCGCAAGCTGCTTTGGCGTGGCCGGCAAATGAGGCCTGCATGTTCTTGGAATCGTCCACCCCATGGCTGCCAGTTGCACATCTTCTTCTGAAGTAGCGGGAGTGCCATGAACTTCAAGTAGGCCAGGTTGGGTGTCTTGGTCAAACACCTGCGTCTCCAGCCCGTTCAGGGAATCCACCTGCATTGTGACAAAAATGGTTGTCTATTATACAATGCGAAATGGAAAAATTAAAAATAAAATTCGAAATAAGCAAGCGCAAAACCATGCCTGGGTATCCCCCATAGTTGCCAGACTGGGTTGTGTCTCACCAGCTTCCATTGGCTTCAGAGGGACCGACAGGTTCAGCATTTGCCTCATTAAATCAAAAGATATATTGACAGGCATAGTTTGGGTTTGCGTAGTTTTACGGTGGTTCCTATCCATGTTGTTCGTGCACTGGTGTTGCGTCGAGCTGACGCATTGCAAAATCAAGCAAGAAAATGAGACCGGGGCCCACCCACATTCATGGCCACTTCAGGAGCTGGCGAAGATCCCGGTAGAACTGCGCCTACATAGGATGGGAAAAAAATCTTTTCATATCAAGCTATAACTACAAGAAACATATCAAACCACAGGTTTTCTCGCAGTCAATGACCTGGATCCCCAGAACGAAAATCTTCAGGCGCATCCCGCACCACTCCCACCATGAACGGGTCGGTGGAAGGCGGACAAAAAGCAGGTTCTTCCTTAACGCCCGCCATTTCAGAGTCACTAGCTATACACCCCGCTGAAAAATTTTGAGCGCAATTGCCATGCACGTGGTGAAACCAAAAGTCAGCAACCGAAATGTTTTCCATGCGTGTTCTTGCTAAATGAACCCCCAACTTCCAACTTCCCAAAATATTTCACATTACAGGGGGTCACGGTTGGTCACAGTTGGTCACGGTTGGTCACGGTCAGTCACGGGTGAGCCCCCTCTACTTTAGTATTGGTCGTTTCTTCCAGGTCACGCCTGGTCACGGTTGGTCACGGTCCAGTCTTTGGCCGTGACCAACCGTGACCAGGCGTGACCTGGAAGAAACGACCATATATAGTGAACATTGTTGGGTCATTGAAAACAGACGCGCGTAGGTTATCAAAATTGTTTGGGACTGTACACTGCCCAGGGTTCTGTACAACACCGTGCAAAACAGACACACGTAGGTTATCAAAAATTGTTTTGGACTGTACACTGCCCATGGTTCTGTACAACACGTGCAAGCATGAATTATTTGCATTGCCATGCAAATTGAAAATTTTAAACTGAATTAATTGAAATCATTTTGAACGTTTTTTTTGTTTAAGGATTTCCGGAAAGAGATTGGGTTCTCGTCTAGCCCCACACGCAGGCCTGAAAGGGTGAAACGGGTGGGAGGTCTGAAGCCACAGGCATGAAAGATCCCGCGGAGAGGTGTAGTGTAATTACCATCCCTCATTCAGGTGTGAGCCTCTGAGCGCGCGAGTACTCGCGAATTCAGCAACCGTGACCCCCTGCGAATATAACCATATCGGAACCAGAAAAAAACAATTTGTCCACATGTCCCCGTAATACATGCATGCATCATGAAAAATCCATGTGATGAAAATTAAGGGCCGCAGCCCCGTGCAACATGCATGTCATTAATTTCATCATGGGGCCATGGCCCCGTAATACATGTCATGGCACATGTTTTTGATTTGGTTCTAGAAGCAAAGGCTGTCAGCCATCTGCAGACCACTTTTATTTTTTTGCAAAGTGAAATAAATCACTTAAGTGTTGCGCCACGGCTGCCTAAGTTCGTCCAAGGCCTCCAGCAAGCGCCCCTCTTCGAATTTGAAGTGCTGCAACTGGGAGTAGGCCACTATATGGTCCTGCCAGTGAAATCTTGTCCATCTCATAGACCAATTCTATATAGCTTTTCAACCTTGTCGACCTTTCAAACAAACATTGCGCAGTAAAGCTTTGAAAAAAGGATCAGCCATATACACATGAGTATGTCCCAAGTTTGAAGATATCTCTAGGTTGCGTCCCTTATCTTATACAATTGTTGTGGGAGCCTGAAAACTATAGCCCACCAAAAAAGAACAAGTTCACCCCCTAGACACCCACCTTCATAGCATCCAAAGATAAATTTGCGCTCTGCACCAGCGACCATCGCCGTCGTTCCCTCCTATAGCCAGGTTGGGACACACAGCTGTCATTGGCCTTCCTTACCATGATATTTAAAATAAGCAAAACATCAATGCGGTATCGGTCCCTGTGGTCACTGGGCCATGGGCCATCCACCACGCAGCCATTGCGCGCCCAAACTCTGGAGTATAGAGCTGGGTTTGTTTGAGGCCAGGCCCTCCATGCACCCGCATCGTGCCCGTAGAATCACGATACCTCAAATGCGAGTTTTCGATGAGCACCCCATGTTGTTATTTAACCTTCAGGGGAGGACCTTCTTTCCCTTCTTATATAACAGGTAGGTCAAAAGGAAGCATTGACAAAAAGAAACCGAAGACTGCGAAGCCCCACTGTTTCGAAAACAAAAGGGAACACTCGAAAAAATACATCTAGGTAAGTTTGACACCGTGAGACTGGATTGTAACAGGATCTTTGGGAGGTGGTCTTTGGTGCTTCGGTGGCACGTACATGTTGATCAAATTGTCAAAGGCTTCAGTCGAATACAAACTTGTAGGTTTCAGGGACGATGCCCTAAAGGCAGCCATGTTGATCTTGTTCAGCTTGAGCCGTTGCCCAGCCCAGCCCCTAATTGCAGCCTCATCAAAGTAGCCGATGACGCTCTGCCATGACGGCAGCGCCGTCATGACAGATCGAGCTGGCTGTTCCAGTACTGGAAAGCCACCACAAGCCCAGGCCAGCACAGCCAACACAGCTGATCTTGCAGCCAGAACATTCCCAAGCACCACATAATCTAGGTCCGTCCTCCATCCTAGAGGAAAACATATACTTCTTTGATGGGTGCCACTGTTGATGAATATGAAAGATGTGCAGACTGTGCCTAGATGGCACAACCCCCCACAACGGAGTCCCAAAATGCAAACAACTGCATAGATAAGACCTTGAGCGCTGGTCGTGAGTAGGGCTTCCTTGGCTATTGGAAAAAAAAACCATGCGTATAATCTTGTCTGAACGCACATTTTTGGCACCTGTTAAAATTGCCCATGACAGCCAAACGAAAGTTTCAAGCAAAAATTCAGAAACTGTCCAAGTCTCGCAAAATGTCAAAAGCAAGAGCGACACACCCAAGCTCTGCAAATGCCTTAGCCACCTGAGACGACAGCTCCGTACCTGCAAAGAATTCTAGACATAGGGCTCCGTAAGGAACATCGAACTCCATCATTCGTCTAAGGATCATCGCGTGAATGGCCAGTTCCACAGCAACCCATGGTACTTCTAACTTGGTCAAGCCGTACACCTCCCGAATTTCCTGGACAGAGAGGGTTGACAGCATAGCCTGTAGCAGTCGCACCGCGATCATGGCAGCTGCAGCCACGAAGGGTGCACAAAAAACGAAGCTTTAAAAGATTGAACCTCAACCCCTGATGTTCACGTGAAGTCTTGCTCCAACGGATCTTTTTTTTTTGGCACATCGAAAGCTGTGAACCTGGACTACATGTAGCAGAGTTTGAAGAGGTGCCAAACCCAAACAAATTGCAAATCTGGCCCCCCACATGGGCCATGCAGAGTTCAACACATGAGAAGTCACAACCTGAAATGTCTAAGTCATGGAGGCTGGGCAGGGGCACCTTAAAGCACCTTTGGAAATCGGCGGCCCTTGCGCAAGGCGTCCTGCAAAATGATGAATCCCTCTAATTGAAACTTTGGGCGTTCAAATTCACGTGCAAGAAACCATGCTGGCAATGAAAAAATCAGAATTTCAATCATACAGCAGCTAACAAATACACATACAAACTTCTTGTATGCCGAAGCCCCTTTTCTGTTTGGGTCGCACGAGCAGATCTTTTGGTTCAAGTTAAATCATTTTAGATGCCCTTAATGGCATTCAGCTCAGAAACTGCATCCTCGACACTTTTGTCGCCACTGTTGAGTTCTTCGACCAAACTCGCCACAATTTGCTCATAGTTTTCAAATTTGCACGAAAGCTGGGCAACCTGTTTGTTCTTCAGGTTGTCATGGATGGCAGCTATATACACCCAGTCTGCCATTTCTCCTTTGCTTGCTCTTTTATGTTTCTTGACTAAGAACTTAGCTTTGGCCTTTGGCTGCTGTTTGGCCTTTGGCTGCTGTTTGGCGGCAGTTTTCTTGACTTTTTTCTTTGCAACTCCCTCCGGCTTGAGGTCCGCGCCCAAGCGCTTTTGTCCTCATGTTTTCAAAAAAAAACCATCCATCAACATGCAGATGCCGAAGGAAACAAGTAGGCAAAGAATGGAAATATATACTGAGCGCAAATCCATTCGGGTCTGCGGGCTTGAGGTCTTCGTTATTCACAAGTGTCTCCACGTCCTGAAACATGTCTCGTGTCAACGGAAAACAATATATTTTAATATATGATATATATGTTTTATGCATGTCGCTGTTTTAGCTTTCAAAGGTGTCATAGTTCATTACACGCAGCTGCATTTGCAGGCTTTCGATCCTAAAACATGCATGGCTTAAGTGAAATCTTTGAAGAGAATGCTGTCCTCCAGACATGACGGCTCTGGAGAGATGGCAGCTGCAGATGCAAACTCTGAAGATGCAGGCCGAGGCCTCAAAAAAAGTAGGGTTGCTCAAAATGATTTGCATGCATGCACTCTTTTGCTTTTCCTTTGTGAAAAACGACTGGATGGAACGATAGATTAGCCGCTGCCCTCTTTTCTCCATATATGTGCATTCAAGGAACACTTGACGAAGCAGCTTCGCCTTTGGATACAAGTTTAATCTCAAACATGGAATAGGTGTTTCTGTCCAAGTAAGCGGCTTCTCTCTGACAACATTTTTTTACTTGGGCGTTTCAAAAAATAAGAATTGACCGTATGACCTCTCTTGCGCTTTCACCCCAATTGACACGGGCCTGGTGCGTCATCCAAAACTCAACAACCTTTCCTGCAAGGCTGGCGAGAACTTGTTGTCGTTGTTCCCTGGCATCCTGCAAAGAAAAGGCAAACATCAGTGCAAAACAAAACCAAAGTGCGAAGGAACCAAAGGTGAAGTCATCCAAACCTGACCTACTTAGAAACCAAGTCCTGTGCAGGATCATCGGGCTTCAGACCAGTCTCAGTCGGCTGCGATTCGTCGCTTTTTTCGTTAAGGTCGTCCTAGGATGGGTTTGCTTTTTTAGACACGCAGGGCTGAAAATTGTATTGAAAGTATTGAAAATTTCCTCTTTCATGAAGTTGATTCACAGGATTTGCATGGGAGAATATAGAAGTCTGAGATCTCAAATTCAATTCCAGGTGAGGGTCAGGTAAGCCCCAAGATTTAGCAAGATCATCTGTTGCCGAAGGCTGCATTGTCTCGAACAGCTCCTTCACGACCCCTTCAACCCAGAGAGGCCATGTGCCCTCACTGTTCTCTTTCTTTGCCTTGTGCGCCTTTCTCCAAACCGCTCGGGTATACCTAGCACGCAAACAAAAAACAAATCCATGCTTGCAAACACCATGCATGATTAAGGGGCCGCGGCCCCATGTAAATTTCATGACAACCGTGGCATGGGAGAAAGATTGTGGTCCTCCATGCGTGAACATGCTGCATGAAGATGAATTTTGGATTCCAGTTTTTGAATAATAGGCCATTTCATGTCAGGTTGCTGAGACAAAGCTTTGAAGTCATACACCATCAGCCACACCTCTCCCTCTGCAGGTTGTTTTGGCAAGTTTGCTGCCAGCTCACTAAAAACATTAAACAAACTGTTGTTGTGCACTGGCTGCGAAGGGGCAGCCACTGCTATAGGTACGAGCATCCACGCATGTGCAAAAATTGCTTCTTTGCAAAGCTTGCTGCCTCAGAAAAAATGACAACTTCAATTTACAGTTGCATGATTCCATCTTACAAAAAAAATTGCAAATCAAAAACTCATGCCGCACATGTCAAACGAGATACTTTTAGTGGCAAACTCGTCAAGCAGCTTCCCTGGAGCTACTGCCAAAGCTGCTTTCTGCAACTCATCCATTGCTGCACATGCTTGCTTGGCAACCTTTGCAATATCGGACGGACTTAATTTTTTTTTCCACAGTTCCCCTTGTGCGCCCCATGATGCTGAAGAGGGGCTGAGAGACAGCGATGTGTATATGATCATACGAATGTGCTATGCATGATTAAGGGGCCGAAGCCCCATATATAGAACTTAAGTTTCATGAAACCCTTGGCATATAGCCACATGTATGTGCGCATGGCTAGCCATACGTAAGATCGTTCCAGTCGATGCAGTCCTTGTAGCAGAAGCCGGCGCCTCTTCATATGACCTGCCCATGCGTCAACCATGCAGAAAATGGGGAAAACCCGTCGACAAAAATGGGAAATTTGTGTCAACCTTTTTTCAAACAACGTAATTTCAAATGCGCCTCCGGCCAAAATAGCTCATAGCTCCATGAACTCCATATTCACCTGGCACGCACAAGCATTCACACACACACACATATATATATATGTGACCATGACTGTAAACAGAGGTGGGGACAGCGACAAAACGGAGGCCAAAGTTTTTTGCAGTTCACCAGCTGCAGGTCGCTATGCAGGTCTATAGTCTGCATCAAACCATTTTGTGTTTTCATCAAAAACAGTGCAGTCATCATCTGCACGACTGGTTGGGACAGTCTTGTCATCATCCTCCGGGGCTGAGCCGTCATCATCATTCATAACACCCTTCGGGGCTGAACTATCATCATCTTTTGAGGCTGCAACTTTCATCTGAGGGAGCTCCGTCGGGCACACAACTGACATGCCATCATCAGGGACATGCGTCGGGGCCACAACCGTCACCTGATCAAACACATCATCATCAGCATCAGCTGCAACCGGTGCGTCCAACCGTAGCTTCTTTCTCATGATTGTGCACGCGGCAGCGTCATTGCGGTTCTCGACGATTCCCTGCGTGCAGGAACACATATTAAAAATCTCATTGTTTCTATAGATGTGCATTTGAGTTCGCGCAAAGAAAAGTCTTTCAAAACGAAAAATTGAAATACCTTCCCGCCCTGCAGGTTTTCAACCAAACCCCTGCGACGTTTGAGAACTTCAAGTTGTATGTGCATGCTGACAGCTATAAATGTGCCTCCACCTTGCTGAGCGCGCGCTTAGCAGCTTTTGCATAGTTCTGGGCCTTGACTTGGGCATCTCGCGCCCGGTTGAAGAAGTGCATCGCGGTATGCAGCATCAACGCGGGATCCTGCCGCCCCAAGAAAATATTAGGGGTTGAAAACCCAATCAAAGCTTAAAGCCCGTGTGTGAAAAGTTTGTGATTTTTTCAAAAAAAATCACACACCTGCAGTTCATGTTCATGTAATGGTGCCTCCATTGGACTTTGCTGCATGTGTCCGTAGGTGGCCGAACTTGAGGAGCTAGAGCTCACCTATAGACGAAATTCTGTCTGCAGGACACTTATGCATTTGAAAATCTTGGGCTGGAAAAAATGTTTGTGTGTTTGACATGCATCAAAGCCACTGGTTCAGGCGGTTTATTGATACCCAGCTGAACCCATCGCGGGGGCTCAGCAGGCAGACATGGACGTTTCGGACTCATCTTGAGCCACTGACCATGCAAAAACACACACTGTCAAAATTTATCCAAGTCGAGTGCAACACGACATTCCCGGGCAGCTTGCATTTGCGCAGGTGCACAAACGTGAAAATAGTGAACCCCCGACACCAATTTCATTTAATGAACTGCAGGCCTCCACCAGCTCTGCATGATGCCGCCCGCGGATTTGAGAAAATCGCAAAAAAATGAACAGTCATGACTGGAAATCTTGTAAATTTGCGATCTACGTGCCCGAACAAACCAAACATAGTTGATGCCATATGCCCTGCAGAGAGAGAGAGAGATATATATAATAAATAAATAAATAGATAAATAAATAAATAGATAAATAATATATATATATGTATACATAGATACAATTATGGAACTACAGGCCTAAAAACACAAAAGATGCAATTTGAGCCAGACATGCCGTGCATGCAAAATCCATGGTTAAGGGGCCGATGCCCCATATAGAATTTAAATTCCATGAGAACCCTGGCGTGGGAACAAGTTCGTGGTCCTCCATGCGATGATTTTTAGTTATAAGTCTAGGCCGAAAGCATTACAGCTTTGGTTGACATGCTTATAGGCACAATGGTCCCAAATCGTAAGGTTTAAATTGAAATCAGATATCGGGTTTCAGGAAAATTTGAATTGAGGGAGTTTGAAAAAAATCAGTTCACATCAGATATGGGTAAAGAAAATAAAATGGAAACCAGGAATCTGAAGAGAGCCGCTATGAATATATATCACTACATGGATACATATGCATCAGGCATCACAGGTCAGCATCGGGCGTTTCCCGTTGCCCCAGAAACAACCCAGGCCGTTTCTTCCATGGGAATTAACAGCCCAAGGCGTTTCTTACATGTGCAGAAACAGCCAGGTCGTAAAAGATACAGCCAAACCCCAGTTCGGCATCTCCAGGTTTGGTATTGTAGAAATAAGAAAATTCACATCCACGCTGTGTAAAATGTCCGTCTGTCCACAAATCCAACTGAGGCTACCCAGAACCGCACGCATTTGAGATTTTTCAGTATCTGTAGTTTCGTGATCACGTTGACGAAACCGTTCTCGATTAATATTGATAGGATGTAATTGTTCCAGAAAATCGTGTTGGCTCAAAGTAAAACTGTAGTCCTCATGTTGTACTACCTTGACACCACATTGAACAAAAGGGCTATGTTCCCATTGACCCCATTGAAACTTGGATTTGATCTTCGCAACCAGTTGTTGGTACAAGTCGTCATCATCACAGCCCGCAAATAAAAAGTCGTCGACATGTCCACTAATGGCTGATCGTAGTGTTCCTGTTTCATCAAAGTATACCCAGATACAAGGTTCAGTTTTCATTCGTGTGTAACCCAATGAAATGAGAAAATTGGAAACACTCTTGTACCACCATAGTGGTGCTTCTACCAACCCATATGCTGCACGTTGTAGTTGTGTAACAGAACCATGAGGAATACCCAAGGCATCGCATATTTCTCTAGTGGGTTGTACCTTCATGCCATCCTTCAGTGTGTCACCCTGCAAAAATGCCGATGATACATCTCCCCTCCGAACACGGAAATGACATTGACTGCGAAACGCAAGAAAGGCTTGGCGACCAGACCTAGACAATGTGGGAGAAGCCGTTTGCTTGAACTCATAGTTTTTGTCCTGATAGCCTAGGATCACCGCTCTGGCCTTAGCCTTGTGGCCACCACTACCATCTTCCAAACCCTTCCATGTGAGCACCCACCGCATACCAACTGAATCCAATTTGTCTTGTTGTTCAAGTGGTAGAACTTTGAAACAGTGTGATTGAATATAGCTACGTACTTCTTTGTCTTTTGCTAGTTTAAACTGAGCCAATTCTTCATCCGTCAAAGTTCTCTCCCGCACTTCTACTGTGTTTCGCTTCATCTGATTCACAACAAAAGCTACAGGATCCTCGATGAACTTGTTCACACCACGTTTTGAATTTGGTATGTCGATGGAGATCTCAACCGCTAACATGGTCTCATCAGGTTCAGATACTGGTTTGGTGGTGGTGTCTTCCGCTTTCATCTCGACATCGTCATCTGCAAATTGTGGATCTGCAGTGATATCCTCCATAGGTTGAGGTGGAGATTCCGCAGGTTGATCTAAGGTCGGACGCTTCTTGCTACTGTACCGCCGGCCACCTGTCGGATGATCGCTAGCCTCTTGCCACTGTAGGTCTGTGGGTTTTTCTGCAGAAATGTCCCAATAAGTCTTTCTGTGTGGGTGAGTGGCTAAGGAAGTGATAGTCCATGGAATCTCGCATGGTCCCTTGAGTTCTTCCACAGCTCTTTCACGGCTCGAGGCTTGTCTCAATTGTTCAGGTGCGGCTTTGATCAAGCGGCCGGCACGGTGAAGCCATACACAACTACCCGGTCGAAGACGCCCTTGTTCATCCTCTCTAGCCTCAACAGCTAACACCCTGGCTGGACCTATAAATTGACCACTCCATGAAAAACCACGACCTTGTCCTCCTTGAACCTGTTTTCGCCAGTAGAAAACCAAATCACCAGGAACAAAATGTTTCATGGGTCTTCGACCTGCAGCTTCGGCTCGGGCAAGTCGTGCTTTCGCTTGGAAACGGCTGAAGCTCTGTTCTGCTGCGGCCATTGCTTTGATATTGTCACCAAAGCCCCCATCAACCAGTTGTTGTGGATGTATTGGATGTCCCTGAACTTTACTTGTAAAGAGGCGACCCCATTCATCAGGATTACGACCCATAGCATGTTGAGCTGGAGAATACCCATAGGAGTTGTCCCGAGAGTTACATGCCCAAATAGCCCGTGCAAAACATTCTGCGAGCTCCATGTCAGGAAATTCAGTGGTGAGGGTGTCCAACACATGTTTGACCGCTTGGATTGCTTCTTCAACTATTCCAATTTGCCAATGAGCTTCTGCCGGAACTGGAGTCAGCGTCATGCTACGCTCTTGGCAGTATGCTGCGGCCTCATCGCTGCGCCACACACCCTCAGGATCTGCACGAATTTCCTCTGGCCTCCCGAAGGTCGAGATCCAGAGCTCTTCAAATGCTTTTCGCACAACGGGCCAGGTGGCCTGTTCCCGGCTGTTCTCAAATAAGATGCGACCTGTTCTGAAACGGCAACCTTCATCAATAAACAAGATGAACTTGATCTTGTGATGTGTATGAGGATGGGTCCAAGAACCTAGATCACTTTGTATCCTCTGCCATTTCAGTGGTGCAGTCTCCAGAGTAGCAGGTCTTCGTGGCACAACCCGCTTGCGCTCTTCGCATAGAGGACAGCGGAACTCCCTTGCTATCGCCAGAACTTTCTCAGGAACTCCCCGGTTCTTGAGGGACTTGACTTGATCAAAGTTTCTACTGAGCCGTGTCCAGTAACACTGTGAATATGGCGCAGGAGATTGTTGATTTTGATCTTTTCCTCAGAAGATAGTTCACCCTCGTTCGCCAGGCATGTCTCTGAGTTTTTCACGCAAAAGAATGGATCTGACACCTCACTAGGTGGCAGAGACAGTTCCTGGCTGAGGGCCGACCACGCCTCTTGTTCCTGAAGGGCATCAATCACCTTCTTTGCAAAAATTGGTGCGTAAAAGGAAGAATAATGGGTCCTGCCGCTTTCACAAACTGTATGTTTATGATTTCGTTGGCATGGGAGGTTCATGTGTCGCAGGATGTTGTAGTTGGGTAGTGGCTATGGTCCAACCTTTACACATGAGTTCACCAGTGTCATGTGCACGAAGATTGACAGTACAACCACGGCATGTAACCCTTCGTAAATGTTGTTCCTCCAGGAATGATTGAATGATCGGCAAATTCCAGGCCTCGCATTTCTCTGACAATTCCCAGTGAATTTGACTACCGTAGCGACGTCCAAATCTTGCTACTTCAATGCCACCCAAATATTGTTGTACTGCTGACTCACGTTTACGTTGCAATTCTTCACATTGTTTTGGGGTTCGTTGATTGATCCGTTGTAAAGGAGAAAAAGGGCCACATTCACATGAAATCCAAATATGCTTGGGACGGCGTTCACGAACCAGTTGTTTCACCTTTTCCACTCCACTACGAGTTGTCAGATCAAATCCATTCCAGTGAGCACATCGCGTAGCAGAGTTTGGTCCATGTCTGGACAATACGTCTTCAGAGAGTATACTTCGCTCAGAACATGCAACTTCCAAAAGAAACAACCTATCAAGAGATATCAACTCTTCCCATGATTTGCCATAGGGGTTTCTGGATTCCATGCAACCAATTTTGTTGAAAACACTGATGTTCTGGGCAATCTTCCCACTCAGAGTTGTCCTCAAAGTCATCAAGGACGCTCAGGTCTCCCTGCGGCACTTGCTGCGCGACATTTGCAGAGCCATCATGCTGTTCTCTGAGCGGAGCTGGTCCAGTTCGGTCTTCAAGCGACTCAGTTCGGAGTCGGAATCGTCGGTTTGGATCTTCAGGAAGGACCCGTCGGACAGGTCGGTCGATGATCCGCTTGGATTCCCCTTGGCATGGCGGGGATGATATCCCGACGGAGGGAGATCCTTCTCGGTCTTCTTGAACTGTGTGATGTGCTGTTCCTCCATGGTGACCTTCAACCACTGTGCCAGTCGTTTCAGGCGCCACGACGACTCTGGGTTCTTGTCGGCTGTGGTTAGGATCCACTCTGCATAGGAGGGACATTCCTCCAGGATCTCCTTGTACTTCTTGTCTGAGTGCTTGCCGAAGTTCACCAGGTCGCTGCCCGTCGGCGGCGTCGCCACCGTGATCCTCTCTTCGCACTTGGCATAGAGCACACTGATGGTGTCGTTGGGACGCACCGGGATCTCCAAGCCCTGGGCATAGATGATGAGAGTTGCCTTCTTCCGAGCTGCATGATTGAGCTCTGTCAGTTGGTTCTTCAGGAAAGCATGTTGTCCTTCCTTCTGGAGCCAATCGGGCCTTGATCTGCTGAGTGTTCCAGGCAGTTGGCACGTCTTCTCCCAAGTCCTGGAGCTTGGAGATGAGGTCCATCTTGCGCTCGGTCGGCATGGTGTGCTAGGTTACGCTCGGGCACTGCGGAGTTGAGGCTTGCTGACTGCTGCAACGTGGCACTAGATGGCTCAAGCTTCGACCTATCAACATGAAAAACAGTGTCACTACAAACATTGTGTTTTTGTTGCTGATGTCCACAAAAGGTGCACAAACAATTCTGTACAGCTTGCAAACTACACACGGCACAGGTTTCATAAGAGAAATCCTTTCCTGTCAAGCTCCCCTGGACGCAATGTCCATTTTCTCCAGAGGAGCATGTTCCCTATTCGTCGCCCAGCTGGGAAAATGGCTGAGCTCGCTTCACTGCACCTGCCAAAAGATTGCCACCAAGTGGCATCAGGAGGTGGCCGTTTTTGGCACTCTCCAAAGAAACAACACTGTGCGGGCAAAGGTGCTTGTAAATCACTTCATCTCTGGCAAAATCAACAACTGCGCCTAGTGATTTCAGGGCTTTGACTGAGATCAAAATTGGCTGATTGGGCAACTCATGTACATGAACAGCCATGGCACCTAGCTTGGACCCACAATCTACCTTTACATGTGCAGTGGAAACGCATGAAGTAGTCCCGTTGTTCCCAAATTTGAACACAGGAGTATTGTGGGGATCTATGGTAACCCTGTCCTCACCGTGCTTGGCCATGTTGTTGTGCATCAAAGCTTTGACCGCTGCGATGGAACCCAAAGTAGCAGTCGCTCCACAGTCAATCACGCCCTTGCACTGCATGATGTTGTTGCCCACCTCGGCTGAGACATGCACGGCTTCCGCAGGAGAGTTCTGCATAAGCTCAGATCCAAAAGCTACCTCAGCCTCTTCTGAGACCTGTGCATGCTGCTTCTTTGGAACTGGACAGTTGACGGTCTGATGTGGACCACCACAACGGACACATTTGATTGTGCTGTCACCTTTGCCACCTTTTGGACCTTGGTGAAAGGTAGATGATCGAGGCCAAGACGATTTGCCCTTGCCGGTGGGGTAAAAGTTGCGCCCCATGCGAACTTGTTGTTGTCGCCACCGCGCTTCCTTCAAGGTGCGCTTCTTCTCCTGGATGACTTCAAGAGCAGACTCAATCAGAGCCTGATCAGCCATGTAGCACTCATAGGCCTCAGCATCTTCATGTGGATCTGGCGCACCTTCGTCTGCCAGCATCACATCCTCGGGCTCATCCTCAAGCACAAGTTGTGCCTGATGATGGTGTTTGTCTCTCTTCATCAGGTCTTCATCCGTCCACTGTTCTTTCAAGGCTTGTTCGACAGAAACCACTGAGATGTTGCCCTTGATGGCTGCCAGTACGTTTGCTCGCTCACCAGCATCAAGCCCTGAGCGTTGCAACAGCAAGAAGCCAGTCAAATGGTCCGGAATGAAGTCCGGGGCTTCAGCACTCCAAGACGCAGGAGGTGCATATTCATCACTTTTCCATGAGCCCCAGTACCAGTCCGCCCAATCGGAAGACTTCCAGCTCCAACCAGCATCAGAGTGGACTCCTTCATCAGCAGCTCCCCATTCATCCTCCTCTTCTCGCAAGCGACCGTTGTCACCAAATGGACCTTGGTCATCCGAGCTTTGAGCCTGACGTGGACGATCGCGCTTGTAGTTGCGCCAGTCAGTAGATGATCTCCTAGATGAGGGTTCAGACATACCCCTGCCAGTGCTCACACTAGTCCCTAGGTCTGATTGAACCAATCTGAGAGCCCTCGAGGCTTCCCACAAGGCTTCACTGTGACGATTTGTCCAAGCCGTCATTGACTCGAAGCGTTTTCGTTTTAGCTGGTAGAAGAACTTCTGTATGTGTTGCGAAGCCTGCAACAACGATGGTTGCCCTATGCACCTTTCCAGATGCTCCAGTTGGTCGTAGCCCCCCCGCGGATGGGCTAACCACTGAGGGTCTCCTGCCAGCCTCTTTCTGATGACTGTCCTTGCAATTCCAGTCAGCGCCTGAGCTAACCTAGGACCTGCAAGGTACCTCTTGTGGTGCTCCAACGTGAAGAGGTACTGAAGAGCCTCCTCTCGGTAGAGGTTCAACTTGTCTGCAGTGCCATCAAAAGTTGGCACCCCATCCTTGGTTCTACTCACACTTTCATCACCCATATCCCTGGATCCTCGCCGCCTCAAGGCTAAGCGTAGGTAGCTCCCCGGTATCAAACCAGGCTAAACGCTACCATGCAAGTGGTTCACAGGAGCTAGCAAGAATGCGCACTCCCTTTTTGACAATGGGCGAGGGGCCACAATGCTGCGCGGATGGGAACATGAATTCCGACTGATATTGGTCGTGAATTTGCATATATAGCATACATATCTATTATGTATACAGTATTCATGCCTTTCTGGAAAGTCTATTTTTCTTTTCCTTGTGGTCTGTCACCCTTAGAACATTTGACATACTTTGGATAGTCAAAACCAAATCAATCAGATGTTTTACAATTCCTTGTCAGAGGCACGTACTTTGAAGGCTTTGCATGTTTTTGTGAGACAGATCTTCCCCTTTGGTTTGCATTTAAATTGTTGGCTGCAGGTGACTTTCCACTTTCCATTGTATTGCCTGTGTGGAAACTCAAACTCGGAGAAATTCTGTTCTTCCGCAACCCAACAGAATCCACGAATGAAACCCGGGCCCGCATTCAAACTCTCCGGTGGAGTGATTACAACGGAATCGAGCCGGGGAATCTTTACTCTTACGTACTCTTCCTATCTTCTTGGTGCCTATGCCGTCACTCTTTTCCAACGCCTCCATTTTCTGTTCACCTGGCAATATCCGCCACCACATAGCGAAGCACACACTACGTGTATAGCGGAGCATGCACTGACATACACTACGTGTATGGGCTCCCTGGAACCCCTTACCACAGAATTCACAGAATCTCAGTTTATCTCAGTCTCTGAAAACCAAACGCTCCACAGACTCCACAGCAGTATCCCACCGAAACACTCGAAACACCCACCCTTTTCAGCCTTTACTCACAGTGCTTCACAGGAAGCCAACCCACCAAGAATGCACAGTTTTCCTTTGCACATTCAGCCTCAGCCAGAGCCAGATGCCTTCTCTTCCGAAGGTTTTGCAGATTTGTCATTTGAGTCATTTTGATTCGATATTATTTTGATTATGTAGTTTGTTATATTATAGTCATAGAGTTTGTTATAGTTTGTTATATTATAGTCTGAAGTCTGCTCATGTTTATGTTTGTTTTGGACAGGCTTGTGAGCATTTGGACGGAAAGCACACCATCTTTGGACAAGTGGAGGCACCATGTGGCACCGTGTTAACGGCGGGGCAGCTTTCAATTCTTTTCATTTTTTTCACTTCTTTTTAACATCTTGCAAGTGATGAAGGCTTTTAGATCCACGATGTGGGGCGATCACAGGCTATCACTACTTTGGACAGTGCCTGACTATTCAGAGTTCCTTCGCAGGACGCAGACCTTCCAGTACTGCAAGAGATGGAACTTGTGAAAATTGGCAAAAACGACAGGTCTGCGAAGTTTGCAAAGTTTGCGAAGTTTGCTTCTTGCGCTTCTTGTGCCTTTGCACTTCTTGCAGTGCTTCAGCAGATGAGACTGATCACATTGGACTGGTTAGACTTCACAGCCAGCTTTGAAGGTTCTCATGCATCTCTACCACGTGTAGGCCAGTAAAGCCCATCAAGATTTTTGGCATTCAAGTTCAAGAAGATCCCTGGTGCGGTGCTCAGAATTCACACCACTGTTTTCTCACAGGTCTTCACACAGATGTGAGCTGAACTGAGGGTAGGACAGCCTCTTCCACCAGGCGCATGCATACCAGACAAGCCGCTTGTCAATGAGGACGAACATGGACTATACACGTCTTGGCTGCAAATCTCTGATAAGAGCTGGACAAAAAGGCACTATGCGGTGCCTCGAGTCTTGCAAATTTTGTCATGTTGTTGAAATGGTGTGCCTTATCATGATATTCTGCAGGACAAAAACTGCACAGTTCAATAG